GGATTCTGTAGAATTTAGAACTTAATTTATTTTTAGATTTTTTTGCTATAGGGTGCGTGCGCTCACCAGAGAGACAGACAGAAATCACTTCCTAGGGGGCATGGCCACATCGCACTCCCTTTTCCTCCATTCTCCTCTTGGGATTTCAGGCACACATGCACACACATCCTGTGTGAGTTTAAACTGCCATGTCCAGGATTCAGACCATGGTCAACTATGTGGGAGTCCAACATAACCATTATGCTAGTGCCTTTTTTTTTTTTTTAAGAGATTTTTTGGTATAGGGTTGATGCATTTGCTGGAGAGACAGAGAGACAGAAAATGAGAAGTCACCCCCACCCCAGAGTGGGGAGATAGTCATGCTGCAGTTCCTTCACCTCCATTTTCCTCTTGGAATTTTGGGCATGCATACACATGCACCTGGCATGAGATTTAAGCCACTGGGTCTGTGAATCAAACCACAGTCAACTGTGTGGGAGTCCAGTGACATAGCCATTACACCGTCTTTTGGTCCCCAGAAGTATCTTTTAAAGCAAAGGCATTAAGACTGAAATTTAAGAATGAATTGGAGTTTTACTAGGAGAAAAGAAGGTAAAATGTTATTATTGCAAGTAGAAGCATTAGGCCATGAAATCTGGAGGATTGTAAACTACGAAATGGAGAGGTTATAGTAGCCTGGAATAGGGATGGTGGTCATATTGATGATTTTGTTCTTTTTCCTCAGAACCTTATGATATCATGGACGAGATTGATTGATTGATTTACTTACTATTTTTAGAGAGATTTTTGCTGCAGGGCACATGTGCTTGCTGGAGATACAGAGACAAAAAGCGAGAAATCACCCTCCCAGGGGTATGGTCACGCTGCAGTCCCTTCTTTTCCATTTTCCTCTTTGGATTCTAGGCACGCATGTACACACGCCCGGTGTGAGTTTTAAGCCACTGGGTGCAGGATTCGATCGACAGTTGACTACGTAGGAGTCCAGTGACGTACCTATTACCCCATCTGCTGGTCCCATCATGGACGAATTTTAGGTTGGATATGAGCTAGTATGATCTTTTCTCCTTCTCCTCCTCCTCCTCCACCATCATCCCCCCTTCTTTCTTCTTTCTTCTTTCTTCTTCTTCTTGAGTTTTGCTATAGGGTACATGTGCTAACCAGAGAGACTGAGAGGCAGAAAGCAAAAAAAAAAAAATCACCCTGCAGGAGAAATCCCTTCTCCATTCTCCTCTTAGGATTTTGGGCATGCACACATGCACACGTGTCCGGCGTGAGTTTCAAGCATCTAGGTCCAGGACCTGAACCATAGTTGGCCATGTGGGCATCCAGCAATTTAACCGTTAAGCCATCTGCTGGCCTCGACCTATTTGTTTTTAAAAAGTGGCTCCAAAGTGGAAAACAGATGAGGGCAGGAATGAGATTACTATTACTTGAGATAGGGAACATTGGAATGCCACCAGACTAGGGTACAGAAGTCAGTTGTTAAAATCACCACTGTTGTTATTGAAGCTTGATTCTATGCAACACACACATACACACACAAATTGGAGAGGGTCTTCCAAAAGTTTATGAAAAAATATGTGTTACGGAAAACTCTGCATGGATTTTAAAAGTTTTTTGTGCCCAAATAAACCTGTACTTTAACTGTTCTGCAGACTTTTGAAATTCCCGTGTGTGTGTGTGTGTGTGTGTGTGTGTGTGTGTGTGTATAAATCTGTAATCTATGCAATCATGTTACAAAGTAGTTGATACCACCTGATACATACAGATGTGTTAATTATTAGTAAGAGTATTTGCGCCAGCCCCGTGGAGTGCCTGGAATACGTTGCTCAAGAGAGAAGCAGAATCCCAGTTGGCAACTGTGATTCAAATCTCTGGTCCTGTTAGCCTGAAACTTGCCAGGCACCCATGTAAATGCCCAAGATGTGACAGGCTTGAGGACTGGAGGAAGAGAATCATGGTGTGACCAGATCACATAGAGGGTGCTGCATGCGTGGACATGCTGCCATGAATAAAGAAAAAAGAGAAGAAGATCAAGAGTGTATCTATATTTTGGGAGCCAGCAGGTGGTATGGTAGTTAAGGGTGATGGACTCCCACGTGGCTGGCTGAGGTTTGAGTCCCAGACCTGGCGGCCTGCTTTCTCACTTTCCCTCTCTCTCTCTGGTCAAATAAAAATAAATAAATAAATAAGTTAAATTAAAATTTCTTTTTTGGGACCAGCAGTTGGTTTAATGGCTATGTCGCTGGACTCCCATGTAGGAGTCCCGGACCCAGTGACTTAAACTCACACTGGACACGTGTGCATGCGCGCCCAAGATCCCGAGAGGAAAATGGAGGAAAAGGGATTGTGGCATGGCCATCCCCCCTGGGGGATGATTTCTTGCTTTCTGTCTCTGTTTCTCTGTCTTTCTGGCAAGTGGCATGTGCCCTATAGCAAAAACCTCTCAAAAGAAATTCTTTAAAAAAAAAAAAAAAAAAAGAGTATATCTATATTTTTAAATTACTTTCTCAGGGGCTACACTCAGATTTTAATTCGGCTTGGTACAGATCTCTATATATCTGGCTCTTGTGCCAGTCAGTAATGTCTCCTTTTAGAGTGACTATCAGTATTAGCTTCATGTAAGCAGTGCAGTTTTGCATGTCAGGTCTCTCCGCCTTGCTGGCTACTAGCTACTGCTAGGGAATCACTTTCATTGCAGAGAAATCTGAAAAGGCCATTGACGGTATGGTCAGAATCACTTCTGAACGTTGGGTCTGGAATGTAAAACGTCTTCGAATATTTCCTTCAATGAGGAAGATTAATCATAAACTTGGAGCGCTGCAGCTGATCTTTTCCTTAAAAGAACTCCTACCAGTCTCTTGTATATAGCCCAGGAAAATAAAAACCATGAGAAGCTGACTTGTCTAAGGATAGTTGTTTCATCTTTTGAGGTAATTTCACTTCAGGTGTCGGTACTTGCCCTGTGTTGCATTTACTCGACTTTACGTTGGTATTAATTTCAATAGTAGGGTTTTATCACCCTTGCAGGTCATGCTTTATTTCCTCAAGTTCTTTAATTATTTTTATTTAGTTACAGAATTCTGCAGTTGCTTCCCTTGAAAGTACACTCCTGCTCTCATGGGCAGTGTAGTCAATTTTACTTTTCTGCCATTGTTTCATTTATTCAGAAAAAACTCTGTCTCTGCCATGATTTTCTGACTTTCTGTGTTTTCATGACATCTAGTCTAAACTTTGTGGTACAGTGTCCTGTATATCTTGTGGGTTTTAAAAAAACTTTGCTTTCTTCAAAGGAAATTACCCTCAGGTATACAAGGAAAATAGTAATGGCAGTATCTACAGTTTGTCTTTTATCACGCCTTTTCACCAGCTATGTGTTCTGTTTACTTTCTTTTTTTAGGTTTTACTTAAGGACTGTTTCCTTTTTGTTTTTAGTTTTGACCTAAGTACTAAGTCCTAGACTAGATGTTTTGGTTTTCTTTCTGGCTCCAAGCACTTTATACATTTATATTTATATTTATACACATGACACAAACACACACACACAGGTTTGCAGTCTCTTACCCATAATTCCAGTATCCCAAATGGTTGTAAGATGAAGTCTCTTCATACATTTGGTACCCCAGCTCAGCTGACAATACTGCCCTTGAATTGACATGAGACTATACATAATCATTGTTTACCTCACTCAGTGTGAATATTCATGTTTCACCATTTGGGTTATGGGATATTGGTCCTAATCTTTTTGGTGATGTTACATAGTTGTTGGCATATTATGTTTTCTAAAATCCAAAAAATTACTTTTTTTCCCTGTTTATCTTTTTTCTTAAAAAAAAAAAAAGCATTAGTTTATTTAACTTTATTTATTTAAAAGTTTTTTTTTTTTTTTTTAATTTGAACAGAGTAGGGCATGGGGGGGGGGGAGAAAGAGAGAGAGAGAGTAAGCAAGCCAGCAGGTTTGGGACTCAAACCGTGGTCGGCCAGGTGGGAATCACTGGATTATCCACCACGCCCTTATTCACCACGCCTCCTGCTGGCCCCCTGTTTATTTCTTCTGTGAATGAGACAACATCCCCAACAGGGTCCTGATGCCATAATTCACTATCTGTGATAAACATTATATTCTTTTATTTTATTGTAATCAATTTGATATTTGAAATTGAACTCTTTAATACATCTAATCTAATGATTCCATGTGGTATATGTTAAAAAGCATGCACCTAATTTACAGTTCTCTTTTAATATGTGAGTAACTATTTTAAATAAGAAATCAATATTAGGCTCAATGGTGAAACATTAGTGCCATTCTCTTTATAAAGAGATGAATGCCCATTTATAACTTTTGTTGCTGTTCATTTAATTAGATAAGTACAGAAAGACAGGAAAATAAAATATGATTACAATTAGAAGGGAAAAGAATACATCTCCATTTTTTAAGATAATTTTTATATACTCAAATTTCCAGAAAATATGATATAAGTATATGAGAATTAATAAACATTTAATCATATCACTACATGCAAGATAAATATTCAGAAGCCTAAAGTAATGTCACAAGTCACTGGGACTCTCATGTTAAATATGAGACTTGCAGTGTGTTGGTTTCACAATGATGAATCCGTCTGGTGCAGTAGGGTGGGGAGGGCTTATTGTTGGAATCTCTGATTGTGTGTCTGTCTTTTCACTCTTACCTTTGGATGTATGTAATGCTCGTGCTAAATACAATAGAATGTTTCCAGAATATATTCGTGACATTTCTATATTTTTCTTGACTTAAATATTAGATTCTGGATCAGAGTTGTGGAATGATTTTTTTTCTTTGGATGTGTTGGAATGATTTTACATCCACTTTCTTTGTGGCGTCACTTTCTAGCTTGATAGACACTTCGTAATTTTTAAAACGTGCTTAAGTCAAAGGATTGTTGACCAATTTTATCTTAAAGTCTGTGTCACACAGAATAGAACTAATCGTTGTATTCATCTTTTTTTTTGTTTTGCAGTGGGACTTCCCCTCTTGCATGTCTGAATGCAATGCTACACACAAATTCCAGAGGTGAAGAGGGCATCTTCTATAAGGTCCCCGGTAGAATGGGAGTATATACTTTGAAGGTAAATATTTTTGTTGGGGAGTCGTTTTAAAAGGAAATAAACAAAAGTGACCATGTATAAATATTATTTAAATTATATAGACAAAATTCTGTTCTTAATGAAGTTGTTTTTAGGAAAAGGTCATATTTTCAACCCTATACCCAATATAATTTTAAAAAGTAAGTTAGCACTACTAATAGATCAGGGAAGTAACTATTCTTTATAATAATCTTATCTTAGAGGATGAAATAAAAATGAATTCCAGTGACTTTGAAGCACCTCAGAACATGTGAACAATAATTGTGGTTTACCATGGAGAATATGACCTAGATGCCTTATATATTTTTCATAGCATTCTCTATTCACATTCAGAGTTGTGCTTAATATTCCTTTTTTTATAATGAATACAACTAAAGTTCAGAAGATCAAATTTTCCTGGTCAGGTAAGATTAGAATCAAAATATGAACCCAGATCTGCCTGAACTCCAGTCATTATTTCTATCATAACAGGCTTGCTATAATTCCTGCACTGAAAAGAGACCTTTACTTATTGGTATCCTTTTACTTATAAACAAAGAAACCAACTCAAATGAACTTGAGTAAGACAGCATTTATTAGCTTATGTAACAGAGAATCCTAGGTATTCCCAGCTATATCCAGGAGCTTAAATGATATCTCTCCACTCTGTTTTTTTGGCTTCATTCTTAGTTAGGCACTCTATTCATAGTATTCAACCTCATCCCCAAGACCCACTCTGCAAGTTCTAAGTCTAGAGAGAAGAGTTCCGAGAACTAAAGCAACAGCTTCTCACTTCATTGTTTTGACTTGGCTCATGTGGCTATACCTGAATGATCGCTGTAGCCAAATGTATAGACTCTTCTGATCGCCTAGTCTCAGGTTCATGGTCACTCTTGATGTATGGTTGAGATTAATCCTACTCAAGCCAGATGAATTGAGGAGAAGGGTTCCCCCTACCCCAAAGGAAATTTATCAGCAGAAGGAAAATGAATGCTTGGTAGGTATTTCATGTGTATATGGGACTCTGTCCCCTTTACTTTTTTAGTTGTAAGCTATAGTCATCACTTCGATGGTTGTGAACACCCCCCCAACATTAAAAATACATAATCTACCTGTCATATTTAAACATGTTTTGGTGAACTTCTTGGAATTATGGGATTTCATTCCCACTTGGCACTTTCTGCATTTCTTTTTGGCTTTAGCTATTCTAGATTTTTGATATTACTAATAACATTTAGTGAATGTCTACTTTTTTGTACAGTTGTGGGGAAAATATAAAAACCACACTGTGTTTTTCTGTTCTCACATATCACTCAATACAAGACTTCTCATCTGATATATATGTGAATTTCTCCTGACAGGAGATATGTGGTGGTTTCTCTCTACATACCAAGAAATTCTGGGTGTCTTTTAATTCAACTCAGTTCTCAACTCTGTCTACCTGGAGATAGTGTCAGATCCCACAGGTTAAGGGTTCAGTCCCACAAGACTGCCAGTGGACTGTCATTGGAACCCCCTTCAGATGCCAATCACAAGTCTCAGGTTATAACTATACTTCTGATCTACCACCTTAATTGGAGTTCCCATGACTCCCTTCTCAGGTTCCGTTAGTATGATAGGATGGCTCACAGGACTCAGGGAAGCAGTTTGCTTACATTTATTTACCTTATTTATTACAGAGGATGTTATGAAGGATACAGGTGAACAGCTGTGTAGAAGGGATGCATAGGACACAGTATGGGAGAAGGGGCTCAGAGCTTCCATTTCTCCTCTGGCACCTCCACATGTTCAGCTGTCTGGAGGTTATCCAAGCTCCTGTCCTTTTGGCTTTTATGGTGTCCTGGTTGATTACATGGTTGGCCGTTGGTGATTGACTCAACTTTCAGGCCTTCTCTTCTCCTTGGGGATGAGGCTGAAAGTTCCATTTCTCTAATCATGTGCTTGGGTATTCTGACAACCGGTCCTCATCCTCAGGGTATCCAAGAGCTCACCAAGAGCCACCCGTTTAGAACAAAAGATGCTCCTATCACCTGGGAAATTCCAAGAATCTTAGAAATTGTGCCAGACTTTATTATCACTCAGATTACAGAGGTCTTAGAAGCTCTGTGTCAGGAACTAGGGCCAGATACCAAATAGCAGAACAAAGGATTCTCCTAGTGCTGTTACTGCTCAGGGAATTACTAGGGTTTTTAGGAGTTTGGTGTCAGAGTCCAAATACTTATTTCTTTTTGTATCACATATGTGCTAGACACTGTTGAATACAAGAGGGATACTGTGGTCCCTGATGTCTTGAAGGTCACATTATAGTTATTGAAATAATTGTATACTTACAAAATATACTGTGTCATATAGTACTGTAATGATGTAGACAACTAAAGGTTACTATTATGACTATTTAAATTTTTTTTATAGATTTTTTGACATAGAGTGTGTGCACTTGCCAGAGAGACAGAGAAGGGGAAAATGAGAACTCATCCCCTGGGGGCATGGCCATGCTGCAGTCCCTTCTCCTCTGTCTCCTCTCAGGATTTTGGGCACGCTCGCACACATGCCAGTGCTTTTTGTAAGATGCTGGGGTTGGGACTCAAACTGCCCAGTCAGCCATGTGGGATCCAGTGACTTTCCCAACAGCCACGCCATCTGACGGCCCCAAGATAATTTTTAAATAAAGGAATCTAGTCGAATTTTTGTCGTCATTGGTTTATAAGAGTTGGGCTGTACTTTGATACATAAATGATGAGAAGAAAGGCCTTCCAGGACGTGAGACAAGCAAAATCTCACATAATAGGATTTGAGAATAGAGTAAATTGAAATGGTTAGTCCATTTTGTGTGTAGGCTTATGTGGTATGAGTCAGGTTATAGAAAAAGGTAGAGATCAAACTTCGGAGGCCTTTGAAAACCTGCGTGAGCAGTTTGAGATGTGTGTGAGTGTGTGTGTATGGAGTAGACAGCAGAAGTTTTCAAGAAAATAGCATGATCAAATTCCTGTTTAGGAAGATTATTCAGGAAGGATTGATTTAAGGGTGAAACAGGAAAACGTGTCCAAAAGGTGATTATGATTGAGAGATACTGAGGCCCTGAGGTAAAAGAGTGATAAAAGAAATATAGACAAGGGACATTAGAGAAGTAGAATATATAGTATATTCATTTGGAGTTGATAAAATGATTCCAAGATTTGGGGCATGAGCAGTTGATCCTGGAGGGATGATAAGTTTAAGAAAAGAAGATAATTATATTTGTATTTCAGATACTCTTTGAACCTACAGGTCAAGATGTCTGGCTGGCAACTAACTCTAAAAGCTGTCCTGCATTTTGAAGGAAGGAATAGAAAAATATGGGGTGTGTATATTAAGAAAGTGTGTAACATAAGAGATGGCTTAGAGAGAAATTGCACTAGGATATAAAATTAAGCAGAAAATAACTGTTCCTTACTGGATCAGAGTTCACAGTCTTGGCTGTAATGTCATATGGGTGCCACTTGCACACAGAGGGGTTGCATTTTATGTATGTGAGAGGTGTTTTTTTTTTTTTTTTTTTTACATCTGATTATAAGAACAAATTATGTGAGAAAATAAAATGAAGAAAAAAGAACTATTTGTAGTTTTATAACTTAGAAATAACACTCTGTTAACACATTTTATTTTTATATACTACAAAATGCATAGTAGTCAATATTAGGTGTTTTTCTATGCAAAAATGAGTCATGACTTTCCCAACAACCGAATATTTACTCAGCTCTTATGCGAGGTACTATTCTAATAAGAACTTTACACATATTAGCTTATTTAATTCTCGAATGATCTTTCAAGGTAGGTATTATTATTATTTTCTAGACAGGGAAACAAGCATAGAAGATTGAAACTTGGAGTATTGCTACAAGTTGGGAAAGAGCCAGAAAATCTTGGTTTTCTAGTGTTTGGTCTTGCAGCTCTACCCTTTGTATCTTTTACACACTAAGCTCACAGATTAGCATTTGATCAGCATTCTCCTTATCTAACTGCAGAAACCAGAAAGATTCACCTTTTTACAAAAATTATTTCTATTTAACCCTCACTGCTTAGTAGTCAGTATTCAGGAGCCAGTTAGATTCAAATAATGTACTGTTTCTTGCTATCTGGACTCTAATTGTTCAAATTTAGTTTAGTGGGTTTTGTTTGTTTGTTTGTTTGTTTGTTTGTTTGTTTTTTAAAAAGAGGTTTTTGCTATTGGGCATGTGCACTCACCAGAAAGACAGAGACAGAAAGTGAGTAATCACCCCCCAGGGGGGATGGCCACGCCGCAATCCCTTCTCCTCCATTCTCCTCTCGGGATCTTAGGCATGCATGAACACGTGCCCGGTGTGAGTTTAAGCCACCGGGTCTGGGACTCAAACCACAGTCAACTACATGGGAGTCCAGCGACATAGCCATTACGCCAACTGATGGTCCCATAATTCTTCGAATTTAGAATACGTAGTGGTACTTAAACACACACACACATACACACATACACACACACACACACACACACACACACACACACTGGTGTACATCTATTTAACAAAGTTGATATGCAGTTTTTTATTCTGAACATTTCATCATTTATCTGGACTTATATCTACCCAGTTTTTATCTAATTTAAGCCTGTGTGTTATGCCTGCATATGAATATTGTGTATAATTTTTAACTTTGGATATTGATGGAAGTATTAGCTTATTTGATTCAAAAAGAGAGCTAACAAGAATTCAGAAAATATTGCTGGTTTTGCTACTGAATTCTATAATACTAGAAATTAATCAGCATAGTTGTTGCAACATTGCATATCAGAAATTTAATTTCTATTTGCTCAAGTGGTAATAATTAATCCTAATTGGATGCCTACATTTTCAGAAAGATGTGCCGGATGGGGTGAAAGAGCTATCAGAAGGTTCAGAAGAAAGCAGTGATGGTCAGTCAGATTCCCAGAGTTCTGAGAACAGCAGCAGCAGCAGTGATGGTGGCAGCAACAAGGAGGGAAAAAAGAGCAGGTGGAAAAGGAAAGGTAAATCCACCTGATCCTTGAATAAAGTATTGAATGTCGTAGGATAGATGCCCTTGCTGGTAGCTGTTCTTTCCCCAGATCCCAGG